AAATAGAGACATTTATTGAAGAAGATACAACATGTGAGAAACTTAGGGAAATGATGTCTAAGTCCCCTTCAAATTAGGCATTTTGTGATCTTGCACAGTCCTCCCAATCGCCATCAGCTGTCCTGTCATATTTTTCTGAACCTTGATGGTCTGAAATTTCTTCCCTTGCAAAGGTGATTTTACTTTTGGGAAAAGCCAGAAGTCACAGGGCACCAAACCTGCGCTGTAGGGGGACTGATTCACCTGGGTGATTTGATGTTTTGCCAAAAAATGCTGCATGAGATATGATGCATGAGTAAGCACATTATCATGATGAAGCTGACATTCACCAGTTGTCCATAGTTGCAGACTTCTGAATCAAAAGAATCAACTTAATAATCCTGCAGAGGAATGTTCAATCTTAACACAAATATTGATTCAGGTCCATTGCTCTACTTGCTTAGTTACTTTGAATATTATGGTCACGCAGTACACATGCTCACTGAACAGCCTCTACAGCCCCCACTGACTGGTACAGTGAAGCCGTCATTATTCATGCATGTGTATCCCAGTCCACTCTCCTTGTCTGCCATGTTACGTTGATGTCTTGCAAACAATTCTCTTTGTATTAACAATGGTTGAACTTTTTCTAGACAGACCTTGTCATTGCACAACCATCAACCTCTAACTCCCTAGCTATCATATTATTGAGGTGAATTTTTAAAGAAACATGAGCTATATATTTCAAGGGGTTATTGCACAATATTAAAGACACAGGTGCTGGTATAGGAATCTAGATAAAAACTATCAGAGGAGGAAAAGAGTGAAAGTTTTACATCTCTACTGCTTATAAGATGATCCATAAATGAGAGAATGATTTAATTTGCATGTATCTATATCAGTGTGCTTGTGTGTGAAGAATTATAACTAGAAATGGGAAAAAAGAATGAACACAATAAATTATAAGGGAAATTAGTGATTTTAATATTTATTGAAGAGCTTTGTTTATTTCTGTGTAATGCCCTTTAGAACACGAGCGGAAAGAACTTATCAGTGTTTCAGAAAATTTCAATCACTATCACACATATTCATGTGTTCTATTTATTTTTCTTTTAACTAATGTAGATGAATATCATGTCATTTTAGAAATTTATCAGAAGTTCAAATTGGAAGCTTCTGGCCAAGATGGAGGTGTAGATAGACAAGTTTTGCTTCCTTGCACAACCAAAAGACAGTAACAACCATTTAAAAATAAAAGACAATCCAAACTGCTAGAAAATTGAGCTGTATAGAAATCTGACAACCAAGGAATTAAAGAAGAAACGTTTATCCAATCTGGTAGGAGGGGTGGAGGCAGGAAGCTGGGACAGAAGGGAAGTGCAAAATGGCAGTGACTGGTGGACAGGGAGGTCCCACATTTGCTTGTGGGTAAGCCAGGAGGAGCAACTGGGGAGTGAGACAGACTGCAGGGTTCCAACATGGAAAACTAAAACTTCAAAACCTCTGGCTGTAAAAGCCTGTGGGCATTGTGGCAGTGAGAGAAACTCCCTATATCACAGAATAGTCAATGGAGGGGCCCATGGGATCCTAGAACATACACAATCCCACCAACCTGGGGAATCAGCACCAGGGAAGCACCTGAAAAGGCACAATCTGCTGGTGGGGAGTGGGGGAAGTGACTGAAAGTGGGGTGAGAGCCAAGCAAGTGGCATTGTTCCATTTCTGACCTCTCCCCCACATACAGCACCAGAACACAGCAAGATGTGTTGCTCCACCCCTTGCAACACAATAGGTGGTAACAGGTGTGCCGAGACAAAGAAATATGGCCCAAATGAAAGAACAGATCAAAATTCCAGAAAAAGAACTAAGTGATGAGGAGATAACCAACCTATCAGATGCAGAATTCAAAACACTGATAATAAGGATACTCGCAGAAATGATGGAGTGTGGTAGCAAATAAAGGAAGAAGTGAAGGCTCTGCAAACGGTGAAAGGAAAGGAACCAGGACTCAAATCAACAATTTGGAACACAAAGAAGAAATAAACATTCAACTGAAACAGAATGAAGAAACAAGAATTCCAAAAACATGAGGAGAAGCTTGGGAACCTCTGGGACAACTTTAAACATTTCAGCGTCTGAATCACCAGGATGCCAGAAGGAGAAGAGGAAGAGCAAGGAATTGAAAACTTATTTGAAAAAATAATTAAGGAGAAATTCCGCAATCTGGTGAAGGAAATAGGCTTCCAGGAAGTCCAAGAAGCTCAGAGAGTCCCAAAGAAGTTGGATCCAAGGAGGAACAAACCAAGGAACATCATAATTAAATTATCCAAGATTAAAGATGAGGAGAGAATCTTAAAAGCAGCAAGAGAAAAGGAGAGAGTAAACTACAAAGGAGTTCCCATAAGACAATCAGTTGATTTCTCAAAAGAAAACTTACAGGCAAGAAGGGGCTGGGAAGAAGTATTCAAAATGATGAAAGGTACTCTATCCAGCAAAACTATCATTTAGAATGGAAGGGCAGATAGAGCATTCCCCAGATAAGGTAAAGGTAAAGGAGTTCATCATCACCAAGCCCTTATTATATGAAATGTTAAAGGGACTGATCTAAGAAAAAGATCAGAACTATGAATAGTAAAATGAAAACAAATTCAGAACTATCAACAACTGGACCTAAAAAAACAAAAACAAAAACAAAGTGAGCAAACAACTAGAACAGGAACAGAATCATAGAAATGGAGATCACTTGGAGGATTATCAGCGGGGAAGGGGAGGTGGGAAAATGTGGAAAAGGTACAGGGAATAAGAAGCATAATTGACAGGTACAAAATAGGGGAATATTACAAATACTCTAGGAAATGGAGAAGCCAAATAACTTATATATATGACCCATGGATATGAACTAAGCAGGAGGGGAGGGAGGGATACTGGAGGAGGGTGGAGGGGAATAAAGGGGAGAAAAAAATGGGACAACTGTAATAGCATAATCAATAAAATATACTTAAAATGTTCAGGTTGTTATACACACATATATGTCAAAAATATCTTGACACTCAAATTTTGAGGTTGTATGATGGTGATTTTAACAAAAATAAAAATACAATAACTGATTTAATTTTTATATGACTTAAATAGCAACTGTCATTCTGTATATCTCCATTAAATGAAAAAAATGAGTAAGAAAGAGATAAGCAGAACTAATATTCTGTAATGTAGAGGTATCTTCTGGCACATTTCTTAATATATCATTGGTATACATAATTTTTAAAAGGCTGGATTTTACCATATTAGAACAAAAATTCTGCCATTTTCAATCAATGCTATATAATAATCAGAGTCAAAATAGGATGGTTCAGTAATATTATTATTAAATAAATGTACATCACTGATGTTTACACAATTTCTTTAATCCTTTTTGTATGCTTAGACATACATTTTTATTTTACAGAAAATTATACAACAAACATATATGTAGAGAATATTTCAGCTTCATTTTTTTTCTATTTTATCTTCCTTTGGTGGGGGAGTGAAATACATGTCATAAAATCACACATTTAACCTTTTGAAAATTTGCATTTGAGTGTCTTTTATTATATTTGCAATGTTGTACAATAATCAGTACTATATAATTTTAGAAAATTTTCATTACATCAAAAGGAAACCCCATAACCATTTATTAGTCACTCCTTAATGACCTTTCTCTCCAGGCCCTGGCAAAGCTAATTTGCTTTCCGATTAGATGGTTATACCTATTCTGGATATTCCATGGAAGTGAAATCACATAACACATACAACACGTAGCCTTTTGTGTTTGCCTTTTTTTTTTTACTTAACAGAACGCTTTCCAAGTTCATGCACTACATTCTTTTTATAGATGAATAGTAATCTTTTAAGGTAAAGCTCAAATGATCATCCATTCAGCAGCTGATGGACACTTGTTTTTGTTTTTTTTTTTTCCATTTTAGGCTAATAATGCTACCATGAAAATTTATATACATGTTTTTAAAAAATATCTTACATATTTATTTTTGGAGAGAAGGGAAAGAATGGAGAAAGAGAGGGGGAGAAACATCAATGTAAGAGAGAAACATTTGTTGATTGCTTTCCACACACAACCCTGTTAGTTACCAATCCTGCAACTCAGGTATGTAACCTGATTAAGAATTGAATCTTCCATGCTTCACTTTGTGGGACAACAGCCAATTTACTGAGCCACATGGGTCAGGTCTGCATACTTTTTTGTTGTAGCATTTTCTTTGAATTATTTTGAGTATACTTAGTTGGATTACTGAGACATACCATAATCATGCTCAACTTTTTGTAAAATTGTCATGCTGTTTTCCACATATCCTGTATGATTTTGCATTCCTGCCAGCAATATGCTGGGACTCTACTGCTTCCACAAAATCTTTAGTGCTGACCAATTTAAAAAATTGCAGCTGGTTTAGAGGATATAGAGGAATCTTGTGCTTTTCATTTGAATTTATCTAGTGACCAATGATGGTGAACATCCTTTCATTGCTTGTTGGCAATTGCACATCTTAAGAAAATGTCTATTCAACCCCTATGTCTAATTAAAAAGATATGACACCTTAGAGAGCAAACAGAGAAATAGCAGGATTAAGCCTTATGCTAATAACAATTTCATTAAGTAACATGAATTAAATTCTCCAATTACAGTGAATCCATTAGTAGCTATCAGCTCTAACCACCGATAATCAACATTGTCTGGAAGTTATAGGTAAGAAAATAAAATGCATATTGCTGTTGTCCCTTCATGATCTCCTTGAGACAATCAGCATTATTGTTATTCATCTTGATAAATTTCACTTGATAACAAAGATTTTAAATATTAGTTATACCTCTTTCCTTTTTCAGATTCATTTATAACCACTGATACATTATACTAACAGAAGTTGCCACAGTGTCCATGCTCCTTAGTTCTTCTGCGATTTGAAGCATTTGGAGAATATAACAGAGAAATATATAATGAAAGTATGTAACTGAACAGTTTCTCTATGTTATCAGTAGTTGCTGTTGATGTGTAGTTTAAGAAGCTTGTATAAAGCCTGCCTGAGCTCTTTGTTTTTGAGTGTATACACCATGGGATTGAGGGCAGGAGGGATGGTAATCTCTAGTACAATGAGTAGCACTGGAATGATGGGCACTCTCACTGCTGCATAGTTAGTGACAGAAATAATAATGACAGCTGAATAGTAGAATAGGATTAGCATTAGGTGGGATGTGCAGGTAGTTAGGGCCTTGGATGCAGCTTCTACTGAGTTCAGCTTCAGAACAGAGTGAAGTATCAAAGCATATGAGAAAATAGTCAACCCCAAATCACATACCATGATTGTCCAAGCCAGAAGTAGTTGGTAGATGTTGTTGACTGTCCTGTCATCACAGGATAGATTTGTGACTCCAGAATTAGAGCACACACAATGTTCTATTTGGTTCTGTGAGCAGTAGAGTCTCTGAGCAGCCAATACAGGCACGGGCATAGTAGTGAGGGTGTTTCTGAGTGCCATTAACACAGTTGCTTTGACCACAAAAGAGTCACTAATTACTGATAGATAGTGTAGTGGCCGACAAATGGCTACATATCTGTCTATTGCCATGCAGGCTAAGACACCTGACTCCATACCCATAAAACAATGTATGACATACATCTGCAGAAAGCACTCAGGGAGACTGATGGTCTTAGCATTGAACCATAAGATGGCCAATATCTTGGGCATGATAGTGGAAGCCAGACCCACGTCTACCACAGCCAGGATGCCCAGGAAATGGTACATAGGCTGGTGCAATGATGGCTCTTGATTGATGACGATCAGGATAAGAATGTTGGCACCGAGAGCTAAGAGGTAAAGCAACGCGAGGGGTAGGGAGAGCCAGTGCTGCCAGCTATGAATGCCTGGGAAACCCATCAGAATGAACTCAGAGACCTGGAGCTTAGAGATGTTGGAGGCTTTGAGATTCTGGAACATTCTACACTAAGAAGAAAAATATTTAAGCTTACTATTCTTAAGAATATCTATGACAGAATTTTCAAATGAGTTACTTAGATTATTTGTTTCAAAGGAGTTGGGGGAATTCCTCATTGTTCATTATCCTCATTCTGCCTTTAACATTTACTGAGCATATCTAATGAAGCAAGAACTGTGGTAGCACATCCTGGTTACCTCTTTAATCATCACAAAATCTCCATAAAACAAGTCAAATTATTCTAATGAAGCAAGAACTGTGGTAGCACATCCTGGTTACCTCTTTAATCATCACAAAATCTCCATAAGACAAGTCAAATTATTCCCACACTCTCATACTTGATGATTAAAATGTTAGAAATATCAGGACCTTGGTCACTGTCTTCTATATTTTGAGTCATGGAATGTGGACAAGGAGAAAATAATCTGAAATCACAACATGGTGCTTTTCTTTTGAAATTTAAATAATTTTACTAACTAATGTCACCCCAATAAATTCAATAAAAAACAAAACACCTGGCCTCTTAAGTTGGGTTTTGCAAAGTGTTAGTTTCTTTATTTTGAGTTTTAATGTATAGAATTGAGAGTAGAGAAATTTATACATGGGAACACTTTGGTAACAGATTGGATAATAGAATATTGACAATAACTTTTTTCTAAGAAGATATAATTTTTCAAACCATTCATGAATATTTAACTTTAATTAAAATGATATTGTGAGTTAGTTTACCCAATTTTTAGTGAGGAAACTGTATTCTAAAATTTTCAAAACTGTCTAAATCCAAGTTGTCATAGCAGAGAGAAATATGTTTTAGGTATCTCAGTATTTAAATCCAATTGATTCTGGTTTTGAGGCTTTTTTCTCTACTTGAAGATACTTTTTATTTTTGTAGTCATGTTGATACTCACACTGTAATGAAGTAGACATTTAAAATACGAGATATGTTTTAAAAATCAAGTTACTCTAATTAAAGTACTCTGTATCTAAAAATGTATAATTAATTTATTTTTAATGAAAAATTTGAAATGGATTTTCATGATGTGTATTAACCAAATGTGTGCTAATATTTGTTTCCTTATAAAATTTGAAATATTATGGACTTAATATAAAAACACAAAATATTTGAAAAATATTGTGATTCAAAATTATACGCCATAAAAAAGCACATGGGGAACCACCTTGCACGGTATTGGGGACTGTAGCCCTGCGTGAGGAAGGCTCAGCTGGAAAACCAGGAATTCTGGCCAGCAGGCATGAACAGATGCAGGCACAGGAGGTCCCACCAGGAAAATCAGGCCTGAAGAAAAATAATGCATTATTTCCTTTGAAGCCTGTCCTGCTAAGAATAGTGTCTTCCAAGTTAAGAGAGTTGACATACACTGGATGTTTGGTTTCTAAGCACAAGGTTGTCTTGACCACCTAGCGTTATGCTGCCTAACAGACTCTGATTTAAAGAGACCCTTATGTTCTTGCAATTGTTACTTCTGAACAATATCTACTCGTCTTTGATCAATACTATGTAACATTGATTGATGAGCTATTTGTGCATGCTGTGTGCTCCCTTACCTGCTGAACTCAATAAAAACCTAGGGAAAAAGGAGATCAGGGCCTTTCTCCTCTGAGGGATTGGCCAGCCTTTTCTCCCCACACAGATCATGTGTTGGTATATTTATTTCATCTGTGGCTCCAGGGGACTTTGCGGGTCAAGGTCCCCCCACAGAGCAATGTGGATATAGTCTTGTTGATATATTCATTTTAACCCAAGTAGTTACATTCCATTATACTTGTAACTACTAAGGTAAAGAAGATATATACTTTATATAAATATATCTATTCTGCTTCAATAATTTTTTTATAACACCCAAATTTCAAATGTTTATTTTTATAGCTTGTTTTGTTTCTTTACCTTTAATTTTGGATCTATTTACAAATGCCATACAATCCTTCATTATTAACACAGTCATTAGAAAGCTGATTTGAAATACAAGTTGATAAGTGAGTTTCATCAATTGATAGGATTTACTTTGAGTGCTCCATAGGGACTGCTTAGCTTCATTGTTCACATCTTTAATTATCAGTGTTTACAGAGAGAAGCATCAAAATATATGATCAAATCTTCCAACCTGGGACACCTCCTTTGAGCATTTGAGCCAGAAGTAGCAGGTAGATAGTTTTAGTTATTATGTCATCATCACAAGATTGGATAGTGATCTTCACATTAGAGCACAAAGAGTACTAATTTTGGTTATGTGAATAGCAGTGTCTCTGAGTAACAAAAACAGGCATAGGGATAGTAGTTAGGGTGTTTTTGAGTGCTATGAACACAGTTTCTTTGACCACAAAAGATTCAGTAATTACAGATAGATAGTATAGTGATCAGTAATGGCTGCATATCTGTCTATCACCACGCAGGCAAAGATGCCTGACTCTATACTCATAAAATAACATCTGCAGAAGGCACTTGGAGTGACTGATGGCCTTGTCATTCAACCATAAGATGGCCAATATCTTGGGTCTGATATTGCAGCTAGGTTCACATCTACCACAGCCAGAATACCCAGGAAATGGTACATTGGTTGGTGCAGTGTTGACTCTTGATTGATGACAATCAGAACAAGAATATTGGCACTGAGAACTAAGTAGTAGAGCAGAGCCTGGGGTAGGGAGATCACGTGCTGCCAGCTGTGAATACCTGGGAATCCTAACAGAATGAACTCTGAGACCTGAAACTTAGAGATGTTAAAATCTCTGAGAACAAGGAAAATCCTTCACTAAAATGAAAAATATTCAAGTTTACTAGCCTTAAGAATATTTATGACAATATTTTAAAGGAGTAACCTAGGTTCATGATATTGAAGGGGAAGGGTTACATCATCCTTCATTGTTCTCCTCCTACCACTAATATTTATAGAATACCTACTATGAAACTGAAATTGTGATAGCATGTTTCATATGTTAATTCAACTAATATCAAAAACTTTCATATTATTTCCAATGTGTTATAATTGAGGAATGGAATATTATAATAATCAGGATCTTGCTTATTATCTTCCATCTTTTAAGTCATGGAAGCTGGTCTTAAGTTTGTCTTTGTTAATGTGGTGGTTTCTTTTTACACCAAATTTAAAACTCAGAGTAGAAGTTTTTACACCAAATTTAAAACTCAGAGTAGAAGTTTTTAATCATGAAGTCTTTTTGGGTTGCAGATTAGGTTATAGAATATGTGAAAAGAAGTCTTTTTTTAGTAAAAATATTTTGCATGTTCATAGCAGTGCAATTTACAAAAGGCAAGTGCTGGAAGCAGTGTAAATGTCCATCAGTAAATGAGTGGGTCAAAAAACTGTTACGTTTACACAATGGAATACTATGCAGCAGAAAGAAGGAAGATGGACAACAGGGTAGAGATTGACTGTGGAAGCAGGGCTTGGGTGGGGCAGGGGAGAACAAGAAGGGAAAAACTGGGACAACTGTATTTGAACAACAGTAAAATTAAATTTTAAAAAAGTTTTTAAAACTTCCAAAAAATGAAAGACATTACTGAAAGAGAATCATAAAATAGACAATTCAACATATTATTGACTGGAAAACTAAAGTGAAAGTTGAGACATGGCATTTTGAAAAGTTATCTTACAATTTTAATGAATATAATGTTACTTTATGACTCCAGATTTAACATTTAGGAACTATACAATATTTTAAAGTGTGCATAACTTACTATAACTGACTAACACAGATAAATTAAAACTGGCATAGGAAATGTACAGAATACAAAAAAGAAATACCAGAGAATTTAAGATGTAATGTCTTAGACATAATTTACTTACTGGAACATATAATTACCACTCTATGTACAATACTCAAGAAATTATAAAACCCTGGTCGGGTAGCTCAGTTGATTAGAGCATCATCCAGATAAGCCAAGTTTGCAAATTCATCACTGCTCAGTAAATGAAAGCATAAATGAGTGGAACAACAAATTCCCTTTTGCCTCTTCCTCTCCATCTCTAAAATCAATTAAGATAAATTATAAAAGGAGGAAAACATTTCAACTGTTATACTAACAATTTCAAACCATAAAATACATTTCAAAAATGTCTTAGAACTTTTTTGATTATAAATTTTAAATAGTAACAAATCTAATTATGCAGCCTATGAAGAAAAGATATATCATGCATGACCAAATATAGTTTAGTATTAGAAATACATTAGTTGTAATTACTACATTAAAAATATTAGAGAAAATGCATGTATGGGAGCAAAGATTCCATGTGATATCTCTGTATCTTCCATTTAATTTTTTAAATTTGGGTTAAGCCCACACACCATAAAACTATCTTGACCATTTTTAGATGTATATAGTTCAGTGACATCAAATGCATTATTATGCATCAATAAACCCCACCCATCCTCATAAATTTTTCCATCCTGTAAAACTGAAACTCTATACCTATTAAACAGCAATTCTCCATCATCTCCCCACCGCATCCTCTGGCAACCACCATTACAGTTTTTGTCTTATACTTTTGACTACTCTAAGGTACGTCATACACAGGGAATAATACCGTATTTGTTGCTTTGTGATTGGCATACTGCAAGCAGCATAATATCCGCAAGGTCCATCCACATTGTAGCATATTACAAAATTTCATCCTGTTTTAAGGCTGAAAATATTTCATTTTATATATAGATGTGTGTGTGTGTGTGTGTATACACCTCATTTTGCTTATCTATTTATCAGTAGTTGGATTCTTGGGCTACTTTCACATTTTAACTATTGTGAATACTGCTGCTATAAACATGGATGCACAAATATGTCTTTCAGACCCTGCTTTTGATTCTTTTGAGTATATACCAAGAAGTGAAATTGCTGGATCTTATGTCAATCCTAAATTTATAACTGCTATTCTTTTTTAAAAAGTTTTTAAGTATAGTTGGTATATAATATTATATGGTTACATTAATTTCATGTGTAAAACACAGTGATTCAAAATTTTATACCTTA